GCAGCAGCAGCTAGCTAAAGCATGATGGAGACTGGAGTTAAAGAAGCAGTCCACTTGTCCTTCACCCCGCTCAAACAAGCCGATAGCTTTTTAATCCAGTCAGAATTAAAGTGAAGTCAGTGAAAGAGCTATATTACGCAACAAGTAAAACATTATTTGTTCATAACTTTCCCACAGGGCTCCTCTTCAAAAGATCTAAAATACCCATTTAACATTTATTGCAGCATGCCTGTGCCACATAAGTAGCTCATAAAAGCACTACAAACATTTCCTTTGAGGACAACCTTTTCTTATTTCCTTAGAGGTCCTGCCAACCTCCACACTTATTTACTGAAGTCCAAAGCTCTGAGTAAATTATTGACTAGGTCTATATTAAGACGCCATACTAACATTCCAGACCCAGACAAACTGCAGGCACACAGGAAGCTACTTTTTAAAGTTAGTAGCTAAGTTTTAGGCTAACTAAAGTACCCGAGTCGGCACAAACGTGTAGGCCTGTCGCAATGAACAATAAATCAATTAATCGCATGATAAATGAAATTATCAACCTCATTTTCATTTATCGTCTTTATCGTTTCTTCGTGTCTCTTTCTACTGAAGACACTGGATGACAAAAGGCTCAACTCCGGTGCTCTTCACTGACCCCTCCCTTTCGCTTTAAAATCCATTTTAACCGTTCAAAATTGCGTTTCTGGATCGCTAAAAGCAGCCAAACTGAGAAGCTAAGCTAAGAGCTAAGCTAACAGGCCGACCTCGGGAAAGACATCCGTCTTGTCGAAGCTCCAAAATTCACAGTTGAAACTTGTTCCTTCGTCTAAAAAGTTGTTTTTCTCTGCAAAAAGAAGCTGAGAACTTGTTTACTAATTTTTAATTAAAAGCTTTGTGTGACAAATCCTATGCTAAAGAGCTCAAACCAAACCGAGCGTCTGCCATCTTAAGAACCGAACAAAGGAAGTAGAGACAGCCCATGTCACGTCACTGTGCCTCCCTCCCATTTTACTTAAAGAGACACGCTGCTCGCTCTCTCACTATCCATCCTTCGGTTCAAACAGTCTTATACTGCCACCCAGTGGTCATCAAAAGGTACTACACACAAAACAAATTAAGCAACATTTCTTTTTAAATTTGACAATAATGACTAATTATTGTAAAATTTCAACCAATATTATCGTTTATTGCAATAATTTCTGAGACAATTAATCGCCCAGCAAAATTTGCCATCGTGACAGGCCTACAAATGTGCTCCTCTATTTTTAATTTTTACTATTTAGTAGGGGTGCACCGATTGCAGTTTTCTGGCTGATCACCGATTTCTAAAAAGCCTGAGCTGCCGATATGATTTAGTTTAATAAGCGACACTGTCGGGTGTCATAAGGTCACAATGCACCTTCAATTTTCCAATATTATTTGGTTGAAAAACATACCCCTGAACAATATCCTAGAAACAATACAAACTTGTTTTAACTGGCCATGAGGTAACGCTCTGAAATATAAATGAAGTTTAGACAATTGTTGTTAAAACAAAGCAAACAACAAAACAAAACAAATCGGTAAAATCGGTTTCTCGTGCAAATATCGGCCGATTTTCCAAAACTAAGGTTTATCGGTGCACCCCGACTATTTAGTCATGCTAATTATGACAATAACATTGTAACATCAATAATCCACTATGACGAACTGGAACAAGATCAATTAGCACCCTCATTTCCATATTTTATAGTAGAGATGAACCATGAAGCTTTTAACTTTCAATGGAAACTTAACATTAGAAAATATAACATTTTAAAAACTGAAAACTTAGTTTTAGTGAAATAAAGATTATTTATCATCAGTCATAATTAAACCTTAGAATTTTAGAAGCCAGTTCATCTGGACAGAAATAATCGGAGAAGTTTCAGTCAGGGTTTAGAGCTCCTAGCTCTGGTGAAAGTTACTTTATTCTCGTGGCCTCAGACAGTACTTTTACACATGACCTGTTAAATCTCAGTGCTGCGTTTGATACAATCACAATATTTTATTATCCTATAGTTAGGCTCAGCTCAGGTTTCCTGAGCTATCTTTTAGTTTTAGTTTTGCTGCTATAAGCTTAGACCGCTGCAGGACAAACTGATCACATCTCTGCTGTCTTTACTCTCTCTACTCTCCATGTTTGTATTTTGAATTATTTCTACCATTAACATGCATTCTTCTGTCCACACAAAGTTCACCTGGGCCAGCCGTGTGTCTGTCTGTACTGCTGTCCCTCCTCTTTAACCTCAGTCAGTTGAGGAACATGGCTGCCTGTCCTGAACCTGGTTCTGCTGGAGGATTCCTCCTGTTAAAAGGGTTCCTTTCCAGCTGTTGCCAACGTGCTGCTCAGGATAGAAGATCGCTACAAAGTGAAGATTCAGCCCAATCTGCTGGCTTCCTTCGACACATAACTTTCAGTAATTAGCATTTTATAATGTAAATGTTTTATTATTGTGCCTGGTGCTTTACATACAAACTGAATTGATCTGATTTGAAGAAATGCTGCTCTCCCTCCAATCAGCATGACACCAGCAGCAACTTTTACACCCACAAAACAGCACCATGACGCCTGACTGAGTCTAGCAGCTGAAAAATAAACACTCACACTTAAAAGAAACGTATCTGTGTCTTTCTACACAGCGAAAATATTTAGTTTACCCTTTTTACCGTCACACAGGTAAATGATCTCTGGATACACGACTTGCTGTCTGACTGCTCTTCATGTGGATCTTTTTGTTTTACGTGGACACCTGACTCCACACCAGACTGTTCTGTTCTACGTTCAACATGGTGGTGTTTATTTTTTTCTGTTGCACCATCACCTGATAAGATGACAGCGAAGATGAGGGCTGACCGTACAGAGCAGCGTGGGAAAAACTTACCGTCTATGCTACGAAAGTCGAGGAGGTAGGTTCTGCTGTCCACCTGATAGAGTTGAAGGCTCATCTTGGTTTGCATTCCAGTCACGGGGTTCTTCCTCCTCACACGCAGATAATAAGGATTAACCACCTAGAAAGATTAGAAAAGAGGGAGAAATTAAAACACACGCTCCCAAATGTCAAATAAATAAATCAACGCTGCATATTCTCTACAACACATTTAACATTAAACTCAGACTTTTTTTCTCTTTTCTCCTCACATGCACTTTTATTGTGTGAATGTTTATGAAGAATTCACTCTATTGTGAGCCATTTTTCTTCTGTATGTTTGTCAACAGGATTCTTGTCTCGCAGTTTTCAAGCTATTTCAATGCATCATAAATCAAAACGTTCAGCTCTTTCAGGACAATCCTATGATTTTAAGTATTGGTGCAACTTTAGCTTTTTGAAACATTTAGCCTTTTCTGACATTTTTTTCTCAAAGAAAATGAACAGAGCTCATTTTACATCCTTCAACTCTTTAGATCTGTTTACAACCTTTTACTGCTCCTTTCACGTTTAGTTCTGGTTCAGCTTCTTTCAGCTTCCTTGTGCAAATTTAAACTTTTTTTCAGCTCTTTTTTCAGGTACGTTCAGCTCTTTTTTCAGGTACGTTC